AGTGGATTAAAAAACAGTGGTACATCTACACAATGGAATACTACAATGGTGTAAAAAAAATGAAAGAACTCTTACCATTCACAGCAGCATGGATGGCCACAGAGAGCATTATACTAAACGAAATAAGCCAACTGGAGAAAAATAAGTATCACATGATCTCACTCATTTGTGGAATATAATAAAGAACATAAACTGATGAACAAAAATAGATCCAGAGACAGAGAAGCATCAAACAGACCATCAAACTTCAGAAGGAAGGCAAAGGAGGTAAGAGATCAACCAAAGGACTTGCATGCATGCATATAAGCATAACCAATGGACACAGGCACTAGGGGTGTGAGGGCATGTGCGGGGATGGGGGGTTTAGGGATGGCCAGGGAGAGGTCAATGGGGGAAAAAAGGAGACATATATAATATTATATGTAATACTTTAAACAAGAAAAAATTTTAAAATAAAAAAATAACATCTCTTCCATCTATCCCACAAAGTCGTTGTGAAGATAAATAAATGTAACATGCACAAGTAAACTATTAAATTTATAAAATGCTGGATATTATAATTCTGGTATTTACTAAACCTAACACACCCTCACATAATTGTTGATTAAGTACTAGGTACCTAATTGCAGATATTTCAAATTTTTAAATAAATTTCTTATTCATTGCCTCCTCTAGCCTGGAACTCCTGGTAAGGGTTGGGATGCTGGGTTACGCTGTCAGGTGTGATGCCTCTGATTGCCCCCTCTGCTGGTAATGTGTCCCTGTGTGGACTATTTCTGCATAGGCAGAGGATGACCAAGGCAAATTCGGGTTAGGGTGATTGTTATGATTTTAAGAACATGCATTTGGAGTCGGAAAGAGCCAGGTGAGACTATCAGACCTGCTACTCACTCTCCAAGTTGCTTTCCTTTCTGAACCGCAGACGCTTACAAGAAAAAATACAGTAAAATATTTAACACTGTAAGTAGCCTGTAGTCCACTCCATTCAATGTTAACTGCTTGGATCATTATCTCAGTGCTCCAGATGCCTGACATCCATCCCCGGGAAGAGAAGAACTACAGTGACTTCCAAAGTGGCCTGGCCATTCATCTTGTTTCGGGGTTGGTGTGCAGGCTGTTGGCAGGTTTGTTTAGCTGAGTCTGAGCCCTCAGTTGGCATTCAGCTTTATAACTTCAAGCCATTTAGTCACATCCCGCTGGACAGACTAATTCTTTCTGAAGAGCTAGAGAAACAGCTCACAAGATTGATGGTTCCTTCCAGTCCGGCTGGCTCGCCTGGGGCCTTCCTCACAGCGATGGCTTCTTGGGGAGAACCTTTCTGCTTGATCAGCTGGACAGGTTGAGTCTTGCCTTATGATTCTCACATCAAACAAGCCCTCTCTGAATTAGTGATAGCATTGGTCATCATTCTCCTTGGATATTTGTAAGACATCCTTTCATCCCAAAGGCTTTCAAGGTACTTTCTATAGCTCGCCTCTCAGGAGAAGCCTTGTCTAGGAATGATATAATCCCTGGGTGCCAGTGGGAGCACTGCAGGGAATGACACAGGGCCAGAGAGGTGACATCTAGCAGCATTTATAGTTGTAACTAATTGTGCGTTGGTGGGGGAAGGCTGGGGGACCACCTGCCTCAGCCTGAGATGCAGGGGGTTGCCTTGAATGCAAAATTTAAGCTACATCACTGAGAAGTCTAGACAGTAGGTCTCATCGTCAGGGGCAACAGGATAGAGTAGGGCTTCTCAAACTTTAAAGTGCATACTAGTCACCTGGGGATCTTGGTAGAATGAGGATTCTGATTCAGGAGGTCTGGGGTAGCACCTAAGGTTCTTCATGTCTATCAAGATCCCAGTAGTACATCCTGATGCTGTCACACCATGGCCACACTTTAGTAGACCTTTATGAGGCCTTGAATAGCCCTGGTTTTCATCCTGGCTGTACATGTTCCTAGATATTAATTCTTTGAAGGTCACTTTCCTTATATTCTCTACTATTGCTGTCCCTGAGGATGTTCATTCAGGCCATTGTTTTCATTCATTGTTCAGGCCATTCGGAATTCTGTGTTCCTGATCTCCTAAATTTCCATCTCCCTATGCAGACCTTACCTCTTACAGTCTCTTAATCCTTTTTTTTTTTTTAAGTTTATCTTTATTGTTGAAAGTATTACAAATGACTTTTTTTTTTTAATTTTTTACAGAGAGGAAGAGAGAGAGAGATAGAGAGTTAGAAACATCAATGAGAGAGAAACATCAATCAACTGCCTCCTGCACATCCCCTACTGGGGATGTGTCCACAACCTAGGAACATGCCCTTGACTGTAATCAAATCTGGGACCCTTCAGTCAACAAGCCGATGCTCTATCCACTGAGCCAAACCAGTTAGGGTTGTCCTTTTTGTTTGGTTTTTGTTTGTTGTCCTCCCCACACCTGCCTCTTCCAAGCCTTCAACACAATATTGTCTGTGTCCATGGACTATGCACATATATTGCCTGGTTAATCCCCCCAAACCTCCACCCCCGACCTTCACTCTGAAATTCACCAGTCTGTTCATGGTTCTGTCTCTGGATCTATTTTGTTCATAAGTTTATTTTGTTCATTAGATTCCATATATGAGTGAGATTATGTGATACTTATCTTTCTCTGACTGTCTTATTTCAGTTAACATAATATTCTCCAGGCCCATCCATGCTGTTGCAAATGCTACAAGTTCTTTTTTTACTGCTGTGTAGTATTTCATTATGTAGATGTACCACAACTCTTTTATCCACTCATTGGCTGGTGGGCACTTGGGCTGTTTCCTAGTCTTAGCTATTGTAAATTGCACTGGTATGAACATAGGGATGCATATATTCTTTCTAATTGGTGTTTCAAGTTTCTTAGGATATATCCCTTGAAGTGGGATTATTGCGTCAAATGGGAGTTTCATTTGACCCAGTTCTAATTTTTTGAGGAAACTCCATACTGTTCTCCACAGAGAAAGAAACCATCAACAAAGTGAAAAGAGAGCCCATTGTGTAGGAGAACATATTTGCCAATTATATATCAGATAAGGGGTTAATTTCCAAAATATATAAACAACTCATACAACTTAACAAAAGAAAGACAAACAATCCAATTAAAAACTTGGCAGAGGACCTAAATAGACTCTTCTCCAAAGTGGACATACAGAAGGCTAATAGACATATGAAAAAATGCTCAAAGTCACTAACATCTGAGAGATGCAAATTAAAATGATGAGATATCACCTCCCTCCTGTCAGAATGACTATCATCAACAAATCAACAAATGACAAGTGTGGGCGAGGATATGAAGAAAAGAGAACCCTAGTACACTGCTGGTGGGGATGCAGACTCCTCCCTAACTATACTGGTGCTCATACTTTCTAGTAGGGTAGCATATGATCATGGTCAACAAATACAGTTTCCTCTTCCCACTTCTCACACCTCCATTAGTGCTGATTCAAAGTTATCACTGTTCAAACTTCCCATCTCCTCAACCTTACCCACTTCACCCATTTGGATGATTTGGGCCTGAGTGTGCCTCAGGAAATTTGGACACAAACAATCCCCTCCAGCATACAGTGGATTCTAGTTGTTGATTTTCCCAGGGATAGGCAGAAATCTAAGATGACCCCCGAGATTACTATCCCCTAGTGATATACACCAATCAAACACTAATCTAGGTGCTGTTATGAAGCGATTTTACAGATTTAAATAATTTCCCTAATCAATTGGCTAAAAGATAGGGGGTTATCCTTGGTGGGCCTGACCTAATCAGATGAGTCCTAAAAGAGACGGAGCCCTTCTTGGTATAAGAGATTGGAACTCTGAGGAGGCTCTGATGTGAGGAGGGTTATCCAGCTGGCTTTGAAGATAGAGGGTGCTATGAGGTAAAGAGCTACAGGAGATTCTAGAAAGTAAGAGTAGGTCCTGGCTGACAATCATCAAAGAAATAAAGACCTAGGTCCTCCAAACATTAGGAACAAATTTGGCCAACCATCTGAATGAACTTGGTACCAAATTCTTCCCCCTGAGCTTCCAGATAAGAACCTAAACCATTCAACACCTTGATTTTGGCATTTGAGACCCTAAGCAGAGAATTCAGATAATCTATGCCCAGACTTATGGACTACAGAAATTATAGATAATTAAATGGACATTTTTTAAAGCCATCCAATTCCTGGCAATTTGTTATTCAGCAATGTAAAACCAATTATACTAATATACCTACTCAGATTACCAAAATAGTAGAAAAAATGACCTTGATTCCATTTGGCTGTACTTTCTCTTGTAAAATTTTCCCCAGGAATCTAAGCACACTGGGACAAAGTAGGAGTCAAATTATATGCACTCAGCATTTAGAAGAAGTTATATAATTTGAAAACCATGATTGAGGACACCTTCTGATTTCTCTCTAATCTCACCTCTTATCATTATTCCCTTCACATCCCCTATTCTAGCCATACTGGCCTCTCTGATTTTCCTCAAATATATCAGTTGTGTGTATATCTGATGGCCCTTCCTCATGGGCCTCCTCATTTCTTACATTTATGGTGTACATTATTTGTTATTTATATGCTCAGGCCTTCCTTAACCACACTGTTAATATATAGTATCCTCCAACCCTCCTCTATCAATACCACCAACAATCATACACACTCCTTTTCTTCCTGCTTTATTGTCTCTCCTTTATTTTTGACTCTCCCAAGCAGTTATTTATTTAATTTACTTATTTTACTTATTTTTCTTTGCCTCCCTCTACTGGAGCATGAATTCAGGGAGGGCAAAGAGTTTGTTTATTTGTTTGTGGCTGTAGAATGCCTCATAGAGTGCCTGACACATGATAGGCCCTCAATAAATACTAATAAATAGATGATTATTGTAAACTATGTGACATATTTAAACCTTCAATGTAAGAAAATATCCAAAATTAGCTGGATTGATGCACATATCAAAAACAAAAAGAAAATGCATCTTGATTCAAAGCCCTTTGTAAATTCCCTCACTACTTATAACTTTAGCTTATGGAGTTAAAAATGCCCAGGTGTCTATGAACTGTCACATATGTTCCTGGGCACACATATGCTAGTATGTTCACACACACACACACACACACACACACACACACACACACACACACACCTTAATAAGGAATACATATAATATGCAGAATAAATGTGGGTTGTGGGACAAATGAAATTTGTGAACCATGGATGGCATAGCATTCACTATCTTAGCATAAAGTAGTAGAAATTCCTATTGCAAGGAAGGGTGGATCCATTACCATATGCCTCTTCAGATGTACATCTGACCAATCAGCCCAACAGGGATGAATTCACCGAGTCTCTGCAACAAGAGAAAGAGAGGAGAAAGCGTGTTTGCATCTAAAAGGTGTCCTGACTGTTTCATGATGGCCTTAATTTAGTGTTAATGGTTTAATTTCCAGGTTGGACGTTCTCTCTCCTTAAATAGCTCTTATTGTAATCGATGCCCTGTTAATCACTGTGTGGGCCAAGGAAGTGTCTACCGGGCAGGAACCACATGCTGGTTCACCTGTGCTTAGAGAGGAGAATGTCACGCATCTGAAGAAACAATGCCACCTGAAAACAGTGCTGAGTCTCAACAGAGGGCTTTGGGGGAAATAAAGCACGAAGCACAAAGTGGAAAAGAGACTTAAATTTGCCACTAAGAATTGAGGTGAAGATTAAAGTAATGGATTTTTTCTTATATTAAGTAGTTTCCAAAATTATAATAGGTATGTATTTTTTATAGTTATTGACAATATGGTATTATGTAAAAAAAAATACACACTGTATGGAGCTTATTGCCAATTCTAGTTGGGACTTGTCTTAGTCCGTTTGAGCTGCTATAACAAAATGCTACAGGCTGGGTGGATTTTACAAACAACAGAAACTTATTTCTCACAGTTCAGGAGGCTCAAAAGTCCAAGATCAAGTCACCAGAAGATTCAGTGTCTGGTGAGCATCCATGTGCTGGTTCACAGACTGTCTTTTCTCTGTGTTCTCAAATGGCAGAAGGGGCAAGAGGGTTCTCTGGGGCCTCTTTTGTAAGGGCATTACTCCGATTCATGGGGGCTCTACCTTCATGACCCAATTGTTTCCCAAAGGCCCCACCTCTCAAATCCATCACATTGCAGGTTAAGCTTCCACATATACATTTTAAAGGACACAAACATTCAGTCTATGGCAGGATTTCAAGAAAATATACTAAAATGTTAGCTATCTCTGAAGAATGGAATTATTGTGAAATTTTATCCCTCCCCTTCTTGTGTTTTTATTTTTTATTTTATTTTATAGATTTTAAAATATATATATTTTGTTGATTTTCCACAGAGAGGAAGGAAGAGGGATAGAGAGCTAGAAACTTCACTGAGAGAGAAACATCGACCAGCTGCCTCTTGCACACTCCCCACTGGGGATGCACCTGCAATCAGGGTACATGCCCTTACCCAGAATTGAACCTGGGACCTTTCAGTCCACAGACCAACACTATCCACTGAGCCAAACCGGTTTCAGCTATTTTATAGATTTTTGACAGTGAGTATATGCAATCTTCTTAATTAAAAAAATAAGTTGGTTTATTTTCTAAAAATTGCTGTCATCCTATTTTTTATAATAACTAAGCATTTTATTTGTTTGTTTGCCGGGGTTTATTATAAACAGGTTTCATCTCTTATTCCTGGCATTACATTAAGAGGGGGAAAGTTTCTGTCTTGAAAAGGGAAAAGGTGTGCTTCTCTTAAAATGTATAGTTTTTATTTTATTTAATTTATTTTGTGTACATTTTTATTTATTTCAGAGAGGAAAGAAGAGGGAGAAAGAAACAGGAACATCAGTGATGAGAATCACAGATCAGCTGCCTCCTGCATGCCCCACACTGGGGTCTGAGCCCAAAACTCGGACATATGCCCCAACTGGGAATCAAATAGTGACCTCCTGGTTCATAGGGCAATGCTCAATTACTGAGCCACACCAGCCAGGCAAGTGTATCTTTTTTTTTAAAGGAATCTTTCCATCCTGCCCTCTCCTAAGATTTCCCTATTGTTCAAACAGGGTAGGCATGGACAGCAGCACCGCTGGCCTTACACTCCTTTGAATCCAGGGCTGCAGTGACCTTGGAGATCAACCAGGGCCACCTCTTCCTCTGTGGAGGAAACAGACTTCCTAAGAGAGGAAAGGATTTGCTGTGTTGGTGACAACCTGACAAACCCAAGTCTAGAATCCCAGAGAGAACCTGTGTGTTTAAGCTGCTTATTCTTTGGACTCAGAAACAGAATCTAGCTGAATGCCAAGCACAGTGCCTCAATAAATGAAGGTTGGAAGACTAGAAAAATTAACTAAAATGTTTTGAACATGAATGATCAATATGTTACATGGGGGGAAAAAATAGCTCTGGAAGTAAACATCAACCACACCTCCCCTCCCTCCTACTCCTCCCACCCCCCCCCCCCCTACACAGACTTTCTGTAAAGTTGATGAGAGAGAAAAAAAAAAAAAAGAAAAAAAAAGAAAAAAAAAAAGCAGAGACAAAACTATCTTAAAAATAGAACACCTACTAAGAGGCCAAGGCCTGTCCTCAGCGAGGAAGTCAAAAGGACTCCGATGATGGAAATGGACAGCAAGGCCTGCCCAGAGCTCTTTGAATTTAAGGAGTCCAAAGAATTAGGGGGGGAAATGTAAAATGTCTCTGTCTTTTTCTTGCTGGGTCAAGAGAAAACCTAATCCAGTGGCCACAAGGGAGTCCAGTGAGCAATTGGATGCAGAGCCTCCAAGCCCCAAAAACCGAAGCGGCCCGCACATGATGAACTTCAGGTAGTAAAGAGAGCTTTAAATGTGCCCTGGAGGCAGTCAAAGGGACAGAGAGGATATTTAGCTTCAAAAGCGGGGACAGTTTTAGAAGCAAAGAGAACATTTTCAGGATTTAGTGAGGCTTACTAACAACAACACACAGGCTTCTGCAGTGACAGCTTGTACAAAAAAAAAGAAAAAATGCAGGGCTTACTCTGCTTCTGTCATCGTTCCATCATCTGAGCCAACTAGGTCCTCCTCAGGAGCCTGGCTCTCTCTGAGAGGCCATCTTCCCATACAGCTCAGCACACCACAGCACTCACAGCACACAGTGCTGCCGAGCCCATAGAGATTCCTCCATCATCCGCATTAGGAGGGTCTGCAATGCTGCTTTCCCTATTTCCCCACCCAGGGATGCCTTATCTGAAGATTCCAAATTGTCTTTTTAATCTGTCTTCTCCCCAATGAACAGTAATGCAAATATGATAGCCATGGCATCCAAGCAGCCTTTCTTTGAACATTTTTTCTCACAATTCTGAGGCAAGGGATTGGAATTTTCTTGATGGGATGAGAAAACTGAGATGGTTGAAGACTATTATGGGCTGGGTGCAATGGATACAGATGCAACATCTGGCAGGGCTTCCATTTACTTAGAAGCTTCCCTTACTGGAAGAGAGTCTTTTCTGCTCAGGATAATCTCTGTTTCTTTTCATTTACTAAAACCAGTAGATTTATTTTAATAAAACGATGGCTTTCAGACAGAGTTGTTCATATTGAAATGAAATCTATCATGGGCTTTCCTCTTTGGAAAAAGACCTTACACACAGAAATTTCTGAACATGCATTCATTAGAGAAATAATCAGTGGAAGGCAAAATAATGCCCCTCTCACCCCCACCAAAGTTGTCCATGCCCTAATCTCTGGAACCAATAAAAATGTGACCTTGCGTGGCAAAAGGGACTTTGCAGAGGTGATTAAGTAAAGGGTCCTGCATCAGGAGATTACTCTGCATTTTCTTGGTGGGCTCAATATAATCACAAGGGCTCTCATAAGTGACGGAGGCAGGATGTTCAGAGTAAGAGAAAGCTGGAAGATGCTACACAGCTGGCGTTGAAGATAGAGGTGGAGTCAAGAGCCAAGGAATGTAGGCAGACTTTAGATATTGGAAAAGGCAAAGAAACAGATTCTTCCCTAAAGCCTCCAAGGGAATGAGGCTCTGTAAACACTTTATAATGTTAACGCGGAGTAATACCCATTTCAGACTCTGACCTCCAGAACTGTAATATACTAAATCTGTATTGTTTTAAGCCACTAAATTTGTTATGGAAGCAATAATAACCTACCATATAACCCAAATCAAAAGGAATATTGGGAATCCCCAGTCAAATGATCCCTCACTCTTTTTTTTTCTTTTTTCTTTTTCATTGTTTAAAGTATCACATATAGTAGTACATATATCTCCCTTTTCCCCCCATTGACCTTCTCCCAGCCTCCCCTACCCTCTGTCACATGCCCTCAACCCCCAGTTTCTTATGTCCATTGGTTGTGCTTATATGCATGCATTACAAGTCCTTTGGTTCATCTCTTCCCCCCACTCCCCATCACTCCCCAGCCTTCCTGCAGTAATTTGACAGTCTGTTCAATGCTTTACTGCCTCTGTAACTATTTTTGTTCATCAAATTATAATGGTCTTTATTTTTCATAAATGAGTGAAATCATGTGGTATTTTTCTTTCATTGCCTGGCTTATTTCACTTAACATAATGTTCTTCAGATCCATCCATGCTGCTGCAAATGGTAAGAATTCCTTCATTTTATAGCCGTGTAATATTCCATTGTGTAGATGTACCATCGTTTTGTAATCCACGCATCTGCTGATGGGCATTTAGGCTGTTTCCAAATCTTAGCTATGGTTACTTGTACTGCTATGAATATAAGGGTGCATATATCCTATCTGATTGGTGTTTCTAGTTTCTTGGGATATATTCCTAGAAGTGGGATTCCTGGGTCAAATGGGAGTTCTATTTTTAGTTTTTTTGAGGAAACTCCATACTGTTCTCTGCAGTGGCTGCACCAGTCCGCATTCCCACCTGCAGTGCACCAGGGTTCTCTGCAGTGGCTGCACCAGTCTGCATCCTCACCAGCACTTATAGTTTGTTGATTTGTTGATGATTGCCATTCTGACAGGTGTGAGATGGTACTGCATTGTAGTTTTCATTTGCATCTCTTGGATAATTAGTGACTTTGATCATGTTTTCATGTGTCTCTTGACCTTCCTCTGTCTTCTTTCAAAAAGGCTCTATTTAGATCCTTTGCCCATTTTTTTATTGAATCACTTATCTTCCTTTTATTAAGTTATATAAGTTCTCTGTAAATCTTGGAAATTAAACCTTTATCAGTGATAACATTTGCAAATATGTTCTCCCATATTTTGTTGTTTTGTTGATAGTTTATTTTTCTGTGCAAAAGCTTTTTATTTTGATGTAGTCATTTGTTTATTTTCTCTTTAGCTTCCATTGCCCTAGGAGCAGTATCAGTGAAAAAATTGCTTTGGTATATGTCAGAGATTTTGCTGCCTGTGGATTTCTCTAGTATTTTTATGGTTTCCTGTCTTATGTTTATGTCCTTTAACCATTTTGAGTTTATTTTTGTATATGGTGTAAGTTGGTGGTCTAGTTTCATTTTTTTGCATGTATCTGTCCAATTTACCCAACACCATTTATTGAAGAAACTATCTTGACTCCATTGTATGTTTGTGACTCCTTTGTCAAATATTAATTGAGCATAGTGGTTTGGGTCAATATCTGGGTCTCTATTCTGTTCCATTGGTTTATATGTCTGTTCTTGTGCCAGTACCAGGCTGTGTTGAGAATAGTGGCTTTTTAATACAGCTTGAAATCTGGTATTGAGATCCCACCTACTTTATTCTTCTTTCTCAGGATTGCTACGGCTATTCGCAGTCTTTTTTTTCAATTCCAGATGAATTTTTGGAGAGTTCTTTCTAGGTCAGTGAAATATGCCATTGGTATTTTAATGGGAAGTGCATTGAATCTATAGATTGCTTTGGGTAGTATGAGCATTTTAATGATGTTGATTCTACCAATCCATGAACATGGTATATTCTCCCATCTGTTTATGTCTTCCTCTATCTCTTTTTTCAGTGTCCTGTAGTTTTCCACGTGTAGGGCTTTTACCTCCTTAGTTAAGTTTATTCCTAGGTATCTTAATTTTTTTGGTGCAATGGTAAATGGGATTGCTTTTTTAATTTCTCTTTCTCTAAGTTCACTATTGGTGTATAGAAAAGCCACAGATTTCTTAGCATTAATTTTGTATCCTGCTAACCCTCACTCTTTTGTTTAAAGAGATGATTAATAGACCAGAAGACTTCTAGTGTGGACTCTTCCACTAACCCTGTCCAACAAAATCCTGCCACAGTGGCCTACAAGCATGAGCAAACAGAAGCACGGACACCCTCATTCTGGCTAATATGCATTTCACAAAGCCATATGCAATCAGAACAATCAATTCTAAATTATAGAGCTTTTTGTCCCACAAATACACTAACCAGCCTCCTTTTTACTCCCGATTATAACAAATTCAAATACCATAGTAGCATATGAAACAAAGGCATTGCCTAATGTGTAATTTGGGAGGGAATTTAATGATACATCTGTCTGTTTGACAAAACACAGTCTTGAAGTATCTATTTAAAATAAAATCAGCAGATTGGCAGTGATTAAAAATGGGAGGCTATAAAAAGTTTAAGGAAAAAAAAAGCATTAAAGTATAATAGCTCTTGGTTTATGTGCCAGTTATATAGTAAATATATCCAACACCAAACTTCTCTCCTAAAATATCGGCATTAGTTACTGAAAAAAAAAGAAAGAAAGAAAGAAAGAAAGAAAGAAAGAAAGAAAGAAAGAAAGAGAGAAAATAAAAAAAGAGAGAAAACAAAAAAAGAGAGAAAACAAAAAAAAAGAAAGTAAGAGAGAAAAACACCATTAAGCACATAACAAAAATATAATAATCTTTTATAAAGGTTAGGCAATAAGTCCATCAGGAATCCAGTAAGACTGGGTATGTATAATATTATAAAATATGCTATTGGACATTTCTAGCATTATCTTTCAAAACAGAAAGGTGGAAATAATACATTATTGCTTTGTATAAAGATTGCCTTAAAGTCTTTTTTATACTATACTAATGTTACTTTGCTTGAGCAGTTGTTAAAGAATTTTGGAAGTTTGTGATTTTGGAATATTCTAAATGATCATTTGGAAATATAATAATGGCTATAGATATATTGACACCTGTTTTCAAAGGCTTTGATATAGTTTACACCTTAAAATAATGTAATGACCAGAGATAGCTACTACAAGAATAAACTTTTTATATATATTAATAAATATATATATATATATATATATATATATATATATATATATATATTTGATTTTTCATAGAGAGGAAGGTAGAGGGACAGAGAGTTAGAAACATTGATCAGCTGCCTCCTGCACATCCCCCACTGGGGATGTGCCCACAACCAAGGTACATGCCCTTGACCAGAATCAAACTCAGTACTCTTCAGTCCACAGGCTGATGCTCTCTATCCACTGAGCCAAACCGGTTTTGGCTACAAGAATAAACTTTTAAGCAAGGTTAATCATGAAATTGCAGAAATTACCATTGACTGAATGACACCTGTAAGATCTCCAAAGGTCAAAGCTACTATAGTTGAAACAGCCACAGACCCAAGACCCTACCCTGAATCACATCTCAATGCAGACCTTAGTTCCTTCCTGAGATTAATCTTCCTCAATCTCTGGCTCCAACCATTCTTAATGTCTTCTTAGGTCTCCTGCTTCTTTTCTTCAACTTAACTTACTGAAATTGTTGGAGGTTTGTAAGAATCCAACCTTACCTTACTACCGTGTTTCCCCGAAAATAAGACATCCTCCAAAAATAAGACCTAGGGCATGGAAAGATAAGACATCCTCTAAAAATAAGACCTAACGCAACTTTGGGAGAAAAAGTTAATATAAGACACTGTCTTATTTTCGGGAAAACAAGGTAGTATATATCTCTTATCTGGTATCAACCTGGTGATATAAATTATTGTGCACAAATTCCTTATGCTAAAGCCTTACACTAAGTGAGTCTCCCAAGAACAACAAGATTTCAAAAACAATTCTATAGCTTTATAAAACTACTTAATACATAAATGGCTAGAAATGATTTATGTCAAGCATGGGACTATATATATATGTGGACTTTTAATATCTCTATTATTATAACAACTTCTTTAGCATATAGTTGTCCAAAGCTTCTCCAAAAACAAAATAAAGGCAAAAGAGAATATAACCAAGGGAATCATGTTTATTTATTTAATATTTATTGTATATCTGCTAACACTGTCTTGTGCTAAGTGTTGAAAATACAGTGGGGGATAAAATGAACACAGTTATGGCCTTTTTCTCATGGTCTAACGTAGGTGTTAAACTTCAGCCATCACAAACGCATTTTAAGCATGTCTCCTCCCTTTAAGGGAGGAATTGTCTTTAAATCTCCTAAGCAAAAACTTAGTCACGTAATCATATTGAGCTACAAGGGCACTGAGGAAAATAGATTCTTAGCTGTGTGGTCTGTTCCCAGCTCAAAGTTATTCTTATTTCTAAGGAAGAAGGAGAAATGGATCTTGGAAGTCAACTAGCATACTCTGATGCAGTTATCTTTATTTCTTTCATATTCAATGGCATATAGCCAGACTTCAAGCATAGAAAATTCTCCATTTGGTTTGAATAATAATTAAGTGTGACAGTATGAGAAACAGCTTTGTAATGTATAAAGTGCCACATAAATATAAGATATTGTCATTGAAGATAAAAAATCTACTAGCTGTTAATTCAGGAAATTGGTTCTTTTGACACCTAGAGTCTGAAAGGTGTTATAGAACAGGACCCAGATCGGTTCCATGATATATTGACTTCTCTGTTAAATTAACAGTATTTCAATTTCAGATTTATTTGGTTACTAATTTTTGTAGAGTTATTTCTATTAACAGTTTGTTTTTCTTTTTTAAGTATTTAAGTATTACACTTGTGTAAAATCAGAGTTTCTTTCTATAATTCACTACATACTCTTTTTATTTATCAAAATGATTCAGAAATAAATTCACTCACTCAACATGTCTACTGAAGGCCTACTGTGTGTCAGGTGCTATACTAGATCTCAGATGATAGAGCATACAATATATAAAAATAAAACCCAAACTGTGCCTTCAGAGGGCTTATATTCTATTGGGAGAAGAGAGAAAACAAAGAGCAAAGAATATCTTTCTCTTTCTAGGTTTGCAATTTCTGTGAGTGAGGCAAAAAGAAAGAAATAAGCAAACAAAAACCACTTAATGCCCCCTTACTTTTATAATAATGAAACGAGAGAGAGAGAGAGAGAGAGAGAGAGAGAGAGAGAGAGAGAGAGAGAGAGTGAGAGAGAGAAGTTGAGTTGTTGAGTTGCAGGGCTGAATG